GGCGGCTCCGGGAACGGAGGCCCGGGAATGGCGCGGCGGCTCCGGCGGCGGAGCGCGAGGCGCCCTGTGCCCGCAGCCGAGGACGTGTGCGTGTTCAAGTGCGCCGTGTCGCGCGACACCGAGTGCAGCCGCGTGGGCAAGCAGAGCTTCATCGTCACGCTGGGCTGCAACAGCGTCCTCGTGCAGTTCGCCACGCCCAACGGTACGTGCCCGGCATTCCCGGCGTTCGTTCCCGGCGTTCCCGGCGCGCYGGGCCCGCCCCACCGCCGGCATCGCGCCGCCTCCCTTCCAGACTTCTGCTCCTTCTACAACATCCTCAAGAACTGCCGCGGGCACAACACGGAGCGCTCCGTGTTCAGCGAGCGCACCGAGGAGTCCTCGGCCGTGCAGTACTTCCAGGTGGGCCCCGCGGCGCCGGGACGGAGCGCTCCGGAGCGCCGGGCCCGCGTCCCACGCCGCTTCCCGCTCCGCAGTTCTACGGCTACCTGTCGCAGCAGCAGAACATGATGCAGGACTACGTGCGGACGGGCACCTACCAGCGCGCCATCCTGCAGAACCACAGCGACTTCAAGGACAAGGTGAGCGGAGCCGCGTCCCGCCGGAGCCGCGTCCCGCCGGAGCCGCGTCCCGCCGGAGCCGCGTCCCGCCGGGAGTTGCGTCCCGCGTCCCGGCCACCCCTTTTCCAGCCGCTCGCTTGAGCTCCGGCTTTCAAGCCGCTTCTCTGCCGGGGTTTTCTCCCCGGGATGGTGATTACAAGGAGGCTCCGTTAACGCTCTGCTCCCAAATCCATCTTTTTTCCCCCTGGAATCTCCTGTGGCTCTTCTCCGCCTCCTCCCTGGTCTTTTCTTATCCCGGATAACCGGGCACAAGCTGCCTCCGAGCGCGCRGCCCACCTCCTGGGCAACTCTGGAGCGGGGCTCCGGATCGGCTCCGGATCCGGAGCTCCGCGGAGGCTCCGGCTGCAGCCTCCCCCTCTCCCTCGCAGATCGTCCTGGACGTGGGCTGCGGCTCCGGAATCTTGTCCTTCTTCGCGGCACAGGCCGGAGCCAGGAAGATCTACGCGGTGGAAGCCAGCACCATGGCCCAGCACGCCGAGGTGCCCCTATAGCCCCCTATAGACCCCCCCATAGCCCCCCATAGCGCCCCACGGCTCCTCACCCCGCGCGCGTGCCCCTCTCCCAGGTCCTGGTGAAGAGCAACAACCTCACGGACCGGATCGTGGTCATTCCCGGGAAGGTGGAGGAGGTGTCGCTGCCGGAGCAGGTGGACATCATCATCTCGGAGCCCATGGGCTACATGCTCTTCAACGAGCGCATGCTCGAGAGCTACCTGCACGCCAAGAAGTACCTGAAGCCGAGCGGTGAGCGCCGGGCGCGCCCGCCCCGTCCCGCCCCGTCCCGCCCCGTCCCGCGGCGCCCATTCCCACCGCGCGCCCCCTCGCAGGGAACATGTTCCCCACCATCGGCGACGTGCACCTGGCGCCCTTCACGGACGAGCAGCTCTACATGGAGCAGTTCACCAAGGCCAACTTCTGGTGAGTCCCGCCCGCATCGGCGCCGCTCCCGAGCTTTCCCGGAGCTTTCCCGGGAACGCCGTTGCCGGCCTCTCCCGGCAGGTACCAGCCGTCCTTCCACGGCGTGGACCTCTCGGCGCTGCGCGGCGCCGCCGTGGACGAGTATTTCCGGCAGCCCGTGGTGGTGAGCGCCCCGCTCCGCGTCCCGCGCGGCCGCTCCCGGAGCCGGGCGGCATTCCGGGCGGCAGCGCCCATCCCAGCGCGCCCCTCTCGCCCCAGGACACCTTCGACATCAGGATTTTGATGGCCAAGTCGGTCAAATACACGGTGAACTTCTTGGAAGCCAAAGAGGGCGACTTGCACAGGTGGGTGAGCCGCAACGGCGGCGCCTCCGGAGCCCGGATTGTGCCGGCGCCTCCGGAGCCCGGCTCGCCCCGGCGCCTCCGGAGCCCGGCTCGCGCCGACGCGCTCCGTGCTCCTTGCAGGATAGAAATCCCCTTCAAGTTCCACATGCTGCACTCGGGGCTCGTGCACGGCTTGGCCTTCTGGTTCGACGTGGCCTTCATCGGCTCCATGTGAGCGCRGGGAGGTCGGGGCGCCGCCGCCGCCGCCCGCGCCCCCCGTCACCCTCTGTCCCCCCCAGAATGACCGTGTGGCTCTCGACGGCGCCCACCGAGCCGCTCACCCACTGGTACCAGGTGCGGTGCCTCTTCCAGTCGCCGCTCTTCGCCAAGGCGGGTGACACGCTCTCGGGGACCTGTCTGCTCATCGCCAACAAGAGGTGAGCGGCGCTGGCGCCCGCCGCCGTGCCCGGGCGTCCCCGCGAGCTCGGGGTGGCCCCGGGGGACCCCGAGAGCTCCGAGTGTCCCCGCGAGCTCGGGGTGGATCTGGGGGGACCCCGAGAGCTCCGAGCGTCCCCGCGAGCTCGGGGTGGATCTGGGGGGACCCCGAGAGCTCCGAGCGTCCCCGCGAGCTCCCTGTGGATCTGGGGGGACCCCGAGAGCTCCGAGTGTCCCCGCGAGCTCGGGGTGGATCTGGGGGGACCCCGAGAGCTCCGAGTGTCCCCGCGAGCTCCGTGTGGATCTGGGGGACCCCGAGAGCTCCGAGCGTCCCCGCGAGCTCCCTGTGGATCTGGGGGACCCCGAGAGCTCCGAGTGTCCCCGCGAGTTCCCTGTGGATCTGGGGGACCCCGAGAGCTCCGAGTGTCCCCGCGAGCTCTGTGTGGATCTGGGGGGACCCCGAGAGCTCCCAGTGTCCCCATGACCTGGGGGTGGATCTGGGGGGACCCCGAGAGCTCCCAGTGTCCCCACGAGCTCTGTGTGGATCTGGGGGGACCCCGAGAGCTCCGAGTGTCCCCGCGAGCTCCGTGTGGCCCTGGGGCACCCCGTGTGCTCCGAGTGTCCCTACGAGCTTGATGTGGATTTGGGGGGTCCTTGTGTGTCCCCGCGAGCTCCATGTGTCCCTGGGGAACCGTGTGTGTCCCTGCAAGCTCACAGTGTCCCCGCGAGCTCCATGTGGCCCTGGGGGACCCTGTGTGTCCCCATGGGCTTGGAGTGTCCCCACGCACTCCATGTGGCCCCGGGGGGGTCCCTGTGTGCTCCGTGTGCCCCGGGGTCCCCACGCATTCCACATGGCCCCAGGGTGTCCCTGTGTGCTCCCTATGGCTCCGTGTGGCCCGGGGGTCCCCACACGCTCCACGTGACTCCTGGGGGTCCCTGTGTGCTCCCTGTGGCCC